ATGGAGAATCAATGTCACACTGCTTTAGAAGCAAAGCCTATTTACAATTACATTAGCCATGGTATCATATCTGGGCCAACTCTTTCGCAGTTTGTAATGCAAAGTACTGTCCTACAGGTATGCCATACATCAAAGGCCAGTTCTGGAGCATTTGATGAAAGTAGAACCAAGTACACCATTATTTATAAAATACTGGCTACAGAAATAAGTGATAATTATAATTACAGTTACTTGGTACCGAGTATAGAAAAAATCCATCTCCAGCACCAGCTGAGTGCATGAAGTGAGGAATACAAGGACTTGCATTTTAGAAACACTCTTTTCTAAACCCCTGTGTTGTTCTTGTTCTGGTCCCACCACAGACCACCAGAGTTATAGCACTGGTTTCAATGGCATTCAAGCCAGGCCTGGTAGAAATCCTATTGCTTACATTTTCGGAGAACAGCCTATAAGAAATTTTTAAATGGTGTAAATCAGTATATCCCCCACTCACTGAAATCCATGGACTAGACCCTCTGCTGATGTAGATCACTCTAGGGCCACTGAAATCAATTACTCTATTATGTAAATTTACCCAAGCTGAGCCTGGCCTGCACGTGCCTTGCTGGGTGGCATACCTGGAAGCCTCACAGGTCTTGTGGGGACTTATACCTGAACTCCTGTTATCCCTGGTACTAGTTGATCACCCAGCAGCTTGCATTGGCTTACCACAGCAGATGCCCATCTAGAATCTCTCTAACTATTTGTTTCTGGTTCTGGTTCTGCCTCAGTCACAGAACAAACCTTTGTGTGCACAGGCTCAGCCAACTCATATATGGGTCCCTGGATTTTAAAAACGGTCCATTTTTGTACCAGTGCCCATAACAGAGGCCTCTGGACAGCACGGCAATACAAATGGTTTCCTGAGCACATTTTCCTCTAGGATCGTGCTTCCCTTTCAGAGCCCTCCTCCTCCACCGGCTCCTGTCCATTATCATCTCTTCTGTTGTGACTTGCTCTCTGGTCATGCTGCGTATACTTGCACTATGTCTGCTTGGGTCTCCCCACTCTTTCTCCTGCCCCCCAGCTGTCATAGATTCTCACCACTGTGATACAAATAAGTAGTAAAACCTGGGTGATGTATTAACCGGCTGGGCTGCATGAAGCTGACCCACCTCTTCTTGGTGCAGGGCTCTGAGCTGGCATTGAAGCACCTTGATTCAGGGGGAATCTGAAGGCCGGTTTCAGTCACAGTGCTTAGAGGACCTTGGTTCCACAGAGCAGTGGTAGTAGCTGAAGAAAGCCAGAGGCAGTAGAAATCTACTCATGCCCTTGTTCCTGGCCGCTTCTTGTAGCCCATGCAAAATTATTCCCCTCTTCCCCCCACTCAGGAATACATCTAGCAGGTGCATCTTCCAGAGTACTGCAAAAGGGCTGCACCAGACCCATTTGTATTTCAGCTGTACCATGTCATATAAACCCCCTGTCCTTTACTCAACCCACTAAAGGATCATGGGATTTCCAAGGAGCAGTGATGTCACTGTCCAGTGCATGATGAGGCCTGACACAGGAAAGACAGAGGTTGAAACACCAATGTTTAAGCCAGGCATGCTTAAGCTCAGTTCTCTCTGGGACACCCCTCATTCCTTTGCTCTGCTATGCATCCAGCATGTGAAAATACACTCAGCTCATCTTGTTTAAATCTTTGCAGGTCACTTTTAAGCTTAAGTTTTTAGAGCTGGCCATTTATTTTCAAAATTGCTGGAGAAATTACAACAGCACTTACCAGATGGTTTGCAAAACGGGCTGAGCAAAATGAAACCGTCTTATTGGCTATTTGCCATGCTATTACAGGAATCTAACAGCCTGGGTCAGGAGTCATTTGCCACTTCAAAGCGCAAAGGCGATTAATAGTATTGCAATGGGTAGCAATGGTATGTGCGCCAAACGTGGCTGGTGCTTACATGGAATAAACATTATCAAAAAGGGGAATTAGAGCCTCAGATCCCAATGCAAGCAAACTCCCATCGACTAGCAGCTGAGGCAAGTAGGACTTCTCACATTCTCATCCCATCTCTTCTCGTGACCTAAGGCAAACGTAGCTGGGCTGGATTTTCTAGTCCCTCCCTACCCCCTACAAGATTGGTAACGATCATCTTAGTGTCACAGAGGGAAACCAAGACAGAGAGGGACAAGAAGTCAGACCCCATACGGTCCCCTGGCCCAGCTATTTATTAGGAGGTGCATTTTGCTCCCATGCTCATGTTTGCCTTCTTTGCACAGAATACCCCCATGGAGTAGGAGGGCAGGGGGCTGAGGCTGGGAGACAACTCTGGCCCATTCCTGATCAGCCTGTAGAGTGGGGCTGGTGCAGGGGGGTGGGCATAGAGAGCCATATGCTTCTGTGGGCGTAGCCAAGTTTGGGGGCCAAAATATGGTCCTAGGTGCTGCATAGGTTGTCAGGACTAGGAACTGACTGCACCGCTCTAGATTCCAAGAAATAAAGCCCCCCGGTGTGGTTCTGAGGGCGCAGTGATTAGCATGGCTGAGAAGCAGAACGAATCAGATGGGGCACGGTGCTGCTGGAACATGGCTCTATGGCTTCCCACTCCAGCTACCTCCTGAACGGGAAACAATATACTGCGTTACTCCCAGTAACTGCTGATACTGTATACTGCTTACATTTTAAAATCAAATATTTCTTCTACAAAATGGCCTTGTATGTTCCACAGAGGTTGCATCCTCATAAACATTTCTTTATTGGATTATTTGGGGTTTTTTTCTTAATATCATAGTGAGAAAATCTGGGTGCATCTTAAATTCAACGGCATCTTATATATGTGATGGGACGCAGTAGTGTAATGGGAGGCTATAATGGAATCGGAGAGGAAAAGGGAATCTGTACCTTTAACAAAGCAAGTGCTGGCTTGGCCATGTCTGTTCCTGGTCACTTAACCCCTGCCACAGGCTGAGGGGGTCAGTTGCCTCTGGGCAGTCTTGAAGAAGGGGCCTGACCTTGGGAGAGGAGCCTGGACTGGAGCTGGGAAGCCCCAAGCCTGGGCCTAATGCTTGAGCCTTTGAGAAGAACTGAGAGGGATGCTGACAGGTGCAGGGGGCAGCAAGGGTCCATGTTGTACAGTATGGGTCCTGAGGAGGACTGATGGCAGCTGGTTCTGGGGAGGGTGGGATACTTTATTTGAGATGGTGGGTTGATTTTTGTGCTCCAGAGTTTGACTTGGACAGAGCTTTTGAGTAGAAGTAAGGCCCTGACTGGCTAGACCAATTGGGGGCCAATCTTTTTGGCAGATGTGCCACAAATTAGCCCTGCAACCTCTCTGCACTCCGATTCCTTTTTCTTACCCAAACTGCTGCTCTGCTGTCTGCTCGCTGCCCTATTTGTCACAGTGCTGCCTGTCCCTTCCCCAACATGTTGCATGGCACACACTGAGGCTGCCTGTGCCTCTTGTGGCACCTGTGCCCCAAGCTGGCCACCCCTGTCAGGCATGAGATGGCTGTGAGGGGAGTAGGGGGGCTGCAGTGGGAGACTCGGTTCTAACTGGAGGGTGCATTTGGAAAAGGCTGAGACTGGACTACTGGGGTTATGGGCAGCAGCAGGTTATGTACCTGAGAGCAGGCTGTGGGTATAGTGAGCATGGACTGGTGTAGGCATGTGAAAGGTTAAATGATTAATCATTCAACTGATAAGTGCAGCAATAACCAGTTAGCTTACCGGTAATCCTTTAGCTCCAGGCAGGCACAGTCTGGCAGGGAAGGGATGCTGCCCAGTGCCCCAGCAGAAATCAGAAGACAGCAGGGCAGGTGGGAGGGAGGGAAGGGAAGAGGAGTGAGGAGGAGAGGAGGAAGAGCGAGGGGGGCTAGTACCCATAACCTAAGAGGAAAACAGCCAGCAGCCTAATGACCAGGGATCTGTTTTTTTCTGTTAAAGTATCCAATATTCTCTTTTTTTAAAAATCAAAATTTTCTGATTAAAAAACTCCAAATTCACGTTTTTCCACAATTAAAATGAAACACCATTATACAGATAGATATCAATCTAACACAATGATTTATTGATATATTTACAGTTTTCAAGCAAGTCGGAGGCCCACCAGTACCCCAGTACCTCAATCATTATAATAAAATCAATTGTAACTATATATATATTTTTGGCACTTGATTTTGGATTTTTTTATCATGGAAAATCAGAGCTCCCCCTGCCCCCTTCACTTACCAGGATGTGGGTCCAGCTACAGCTGTCCCCCCAGCTGCTTTGTGGTGCTGAGCATCCCTGTTATTCTGGTGTCCTGCCCATGACATTGCCCTTCACTCCTGACCCACAGTCCCCTGCCCGCAGGCCCCAGCCTCCCAAGTACGTGGGGCAGGGGGTGTGTGGGCATAAGTGATGCCATAGGCAACATATTGGGAGGGTATGGGGAGTCAAATGCCACCCCAGATCTCTGCACCCACAACAAGACATGGAGATGCAGCCTGGCTGGACTGGCACTGGGCAAGAGCCACCTCCAGTGGCCTAGTGGGTGGGACCCGGTGCAGACAGGACTGCTGCGCCGCTATGGCTGCCAAGATAAGGCACCCCCTGCCTGCCCAGCAGCAGCAAGGGGGCATAGCTCTGCACCGCTGCAGTCACTGCCAGGAGCCCCACACCAACCACACTACAATGGTCACCAAGGTAAGGTGCAGCAGCAGCATGGAGTTGTGCCTCCCTGTTGCTGCTGGGTAGGCACAGGGCACCTCACCTTGGCGGCCATGGTGGCACAGCACTCCCAACAGCAGCGGCAGCACCAAGCCTCCCTGCCCTGCTTCACCTTCCTACACCAGGTCCCACTCACTGGGCCACGGGGGCAGCTCCTGCCTGGTGCCTCTCCAGCCAGGCTGCAGCTCTGTGCCCTCCTGAGGGTGCAGAAAACTGGGAGGGGTCATGTGCCCCCGTACCCCCCGACACATTGCTTATTCCTCCCCTTGGCTCCACCACACATCACCTATGCCCCTTCCCATAAACTTACCTGCAGGGAGTTGCAGGAGCTGCACTCCACCATGCTGCCTGGCTGCATTACTAACCATGTGCATGTGTGCACAGGCACACAGCCCTTGCCTCTGATTGCCCTCCTCCCACTCCCCACATCCTCAGGCAGCCCCTTGCAGGTTGGAACTCTGCCAGCCTGCAAGGTCCACATTTTTGTGCAGGAAATGGAAAACCCAGATCCCTGCTAAGGACTCATCAATTAAGCAATTAGCTGCTCGGTCATAGATGCTCCCTCCCTTCCAGCACAGGGCTTGACCTGGGCTGTGTTGTCTGCCTAGGCTTGCCTCATCTCCGCGCCTCTCAAAGGCTTCCCAGCAGCAGCTGTGTCAGAGCCACTGTGCTATCAGCTAATCAGTTAACTGATGTAGTTAGAGGAGGCTAAACGAATATGTTTTAAAACTATATTTACATCCCTAAGCTATTGGTAGAGTGGGCTGGGAGCCTGTAGAGTGGCCTAATGAGCCAAAGGTGGAGTATTGCTGGCAGGAGCCCTGAGAAAATTGTGAAGCTGAACTGTTGCTGTAGTAACAGAAACCAAATAGTTTAGCTTTATACCCTGAGAGCAGACAGTGTGCATACTGAATCAATGGCCCAAAGAAAGGACTCTCGTAGGAGAGCAGGCCCTATGACATGAGAAAGCAAGGGACCGGAGTAGATGCCTCCCACCCTAAACTGAGGGCTTTTACCAGTTAATAACATCAAAGACATGGCAGAAAAGATGCTAGGCAATTGGATCATCAGTGAAGCAGGCAAACAGAGTCTGTGACAGGCAGTGGTGACCCTAGGGAGAAAAGCTGAACCCAAGGGTCCCACTGCTATCACAGCAGCCCCCCAGGACCAAGCAGCACTGTGGTACGGCCACCCAGCAGGATGCTGTCTAGCCCCAAGCCACCAAGCAGCAGGATTGGAACCCAGGTTTCCCACATGCCAGGCCTGTGCCAGCCAAGGCAGCCTCTTAGCAAAGTCACACAGTTTCTGCATGCCCCATCTATGGAAAGTGTTAGTGCTTAGCTCTTTGAGAACTACTGTGAGGAGAGTGGGTGAGAATGTCTATGTTCAAGGGAGGTGACAGCCCTGTTAACAAATGTGCTTTACACAGCTTGAGCTCCAGCTTTTTGTCTTTTATCAGGACCAACAGCAGGCCTGGACTTCTGTGCAGTGACTGAATGCTGCAAATACATTTATTATTAAATGAACAAGGGTTGCATGCTTAACTTTATAATTGTTATACCTTGAGTTTGGTGTGAACTTAGAAATAACTACAGTTATTTTAATTATTTTCCCCACGACCACCTCCTTACTGTTCAAACTTTACAAACAGGCTTATACCCACTCAGCAAAATGCCCCACTGCCCAAACTATTTCATCCCAACACTAATAGGTAATGTTTTTTTTTTCCCAAAAAGGCCTTAAAAAAAATTAATTTTTAAAAAAAAAAAGTTAAAAAAAAAAAAAAAAAAAACACAAATCACTAAAAATCAAACATCTATTATAACATATTTTAATTTTATTTCAAAAAATAATTTTGTCCTGATTTATGGGGTTTTTTTAGTGTATATAAAGGTGATTGCATAATAGCTCAAAGAAAAATCTTAATCTTGTATATTGTGCAGGGTGGGGGAGGTAGCATGGGGGGGTGTTTGGAGCATGGGTTTGCTCATGTGTTGGGGGCTGCCTGTACACTAGGTTCCAGGAGCCAGCCAGGGGTGGGAGGAAGGAGGGGAGGCCAGAGGCACTTGCAGCAGAGTTCGCACAGGCGGTACAGGTGCAGACACCCCCTGCCCTGGCCAATCTGGCCAGCAACTCCCTCCACCTCCAGTAGCTCCCTCTTCCTGCCCCTGCTGTGGCACTCCAGGCAGGGGGTAGGGTGGGGAGCTGCAGCAGTACAGCTCCTGCCCCAACATGTAGGGCTCCAGCTCCCAGCCACCTTCCACCCACTGTGCCAACCCAGCGCGATGAGCAGCCACTTACGGGTGGCTAAGCAGGTGGAAGGTAGCTAGGAGTCAAGACTGAAGCCGGAGCCTCGTACACTGGGGCAGAAGCCGCCCAGCTGCAAGCACCTCCCCACCCCACCCCTAAGCAGCACAGCAGGGCCAGGAAGAGGAGGAAGCGGAGCTGCTGAAGATGGGGGGATCCAAGCAGCACCTGGGCAGCAGCAGCCACACCAGGAGCAGCCCCGCCAGAAAGCTGTGCACGCTGGCGGAGGCAGGAAGGACCACAGCGCAGGCTGCCTCTGGCAGGAGCAGGCAGGGCTCGGCCCCGTACAGGGCACCGCAGGCCAGATCCAATCAATTAACAGGAACCTGCCTGTGGACTGGATCCAATCACTTGGAGGGCTGGATCTGGCCCATGAGCTGTATTTTGCCCACCCCTCCCCTGAAGGCAGATATGGCAAGGTGAGCCCACACAACATGTACTTTATGGCCATGGTACTGCATGCTGTACATCCCTTGGGAATTCAGGTGTGCTACAGAACAGCATACAAAGACTGAAGTGAAACAGCCCAGGGAAAAGCTACCCCCACCATCCTCATTACTATTCCAATTACCCATAGCCTTCTATTAAGTAATCTTTGCTCTTAGAAGTGTTTTCAAGGGAGGCTATTGATTTGCTGTCCAGGATCTAAAGCCATCAACCCAAGGACCACATAGCAGAGGAAAAGGCTGTAAGGAGCTTATTCCTTCAGCCAGGTGGATTGATTTAATGGAACTAAGTACTGAGAGAGGCAGCTCTTCCTCCATAGTTACATTTCAGGTCCATACTTTGACTCAATTTCTTTGGCAATCAAACAGAATCCTTGAAAACCTATGAACCAGCCACGGGTGAACCTCCGGAGTCAGGAATCAGGGGGCCTCTTGCTTCAATCTGATGCCTTGCTAGTGCTCACTACATGACAGGCATAGTGATGATGGTTTTTCCAGCACACTTCCATTCCCATACACTTTCCCTCATGTGCTGGCTGGCCAGACCTTCAGAAGACATATTTGAATTTCTGCAGCCTGCCAAGTATAATGACAAATGTGTGCTCTGAATGCTGTAATGATGAGGCCAGTGCTTTTGCTGGCCATAGCCCCTCAGAGAGACACCCTCCACTCACCAAGCTGGTTTCTGAAGGTGCCACAGAATAAATACCTTGGAGTGGGGGTAGGATGTATATAAAGGTCATGCTGGGTCATGACTGTACACACAGAAACAGGAAGAGTCTGGGCAAATTCATTCCTGTGTCCATTACAGGGCTGCTTCTTTTTGTCTGCCTAACCCTTGCCATGAGGAAAACCTTTCTACCATGGTCCTGGTCATGAGGCAGCCTCCTCTGCCTTGCTCTTCCTTGTCTATACAGGCACATATCTGTCCTCTCATAAATACTGCTCAGTCTTGACCAGCCACATGTCTGGTACATTTGTCCAGTGAATCAAGCTAAATGGCCACTCCTTTCAGACCCACTGCCCTGCACATTACCTTCTTGGTAAAGGAGATGCTGTGAGCCAGATTCCAGTGCTCTTCTTCATAGTGAGGAGCTCCTCACTCCATGACTAACGGCTGCACTTGGAACCTGATTCTGCAAAAATGAAAGCAGTAGAACAATTCCTGTGCTGTTCCACATGAGCACAGATGGCAGAATCAGGCCTCTGCAGTGCAAAGTCCTATTCAAGGGTGAAATACTGGCCATCCTCAAGTCAGTGAGAGCTTTGCTCATGGGAGGACCAGGATTCCACCCAGTATCGAGGCATCAGAACTGGGACCCTTTATAGAAAACAACAACATACACCCTCTGTGCTGCCAGCGAGAGTATTTAACTTCCCATGTGAGCATCAGCAGACATTCCCTTGTCAACAGCATTTTATTTCTCAGCTGCAGCCTTAGAACCATTTAGCTGCTAATGGATACAATTTTTACTTTCCAAAGCCTGTTCCATTCCATCAGACACTGCAGGCCTGAACACTCTTTACAAACTAATTCAATTTCATTGCTAGCTCACACAGAAACAGCACCCAGCCACACTTAAACTCCAGTTGTCCTGATTTTTCCACCATCTCAAAAGCTTGGGTTCCCCAGCTAAGTTTAATTAAAGCAGCATAATAGCCTGGAATTACTACAAACTATTAGGTGACCTGGTAGGCTTCATGGATAAATATACCACCCTGCCCCTCTTCTCACTGTGTTTGGATTAGTTTAGCAATCAGAATGAGCAACAGGATATACAAATGGGGAAAGCAGGGGAGGATGCAGGTTATCAGCGGGGATCCTGTTTTTTTCTGATAAAAAATCAAAAATTCTCTGATAAAAATTAAAAGCCCCCCCACAGCCCCACCCCCCAGCCCT